CCTGCCCCAGAGGCGATCCACATGGCGAGGCAGACCTCTCCTGACCCGTCCGCTGCTCCCCTCAGCAGTGTACTTTGTCGCTCTGCCTGTTCTGCTACCCTCTCTGTCTCTGGTGAATCCTCTCACCCTCCACATCTCTGGCCTGTATACCCCAGTTCCATATGAATAAATAAATAAATCTTTTAAAAAAAAAAAAAGGAAGATTGTTATGATTTAGTGACAGTCACAAAAAATTTCAAATTATATGTGCAAAAGACTTGAATAGACATCTTCCAAAGATATACAAGAGGCCAATAAACATACAAGAGAATGGTCAAAATCACTAATTCATAGGGAAATACGAATGAAAACTAGAATAAAATACCTCTCACTAGGATTACTACTATTAAAGAAAATAGAAAATAGCTAGTGTTGGCAAGGTTATCAGGAAATTGGAACCTTGTACACTGTTAATGTGATCATCAAATGGTTCATCTGTACAAGAAAAAGTTAAGGTTTTCCCTACTTTCCCTGTCTGAAAGTAGAACTTCTTATTTGATAAAGTGAGCATTCTTCTTCTGGATAACAGAGGAAACTTGAATTTCCATTACTCAGAAAAAATTGTTGTGTGATGTAACAATTCCACTTCTGAAATTTATCTTGATGTTATTTGGGTCTATTTTGGCTTCTGGTGCGAGGTACAGAATCAAATGAGGTGATTTCAAACGTTCTAGGAAAGTGTGAGCTTTTTGAGATGTAGGTAAGAGCTGTGACTGCCCTTGGCTCACGGTTTGGCCCTTCAGTCAGCGACAGCGGTGTGCTGGCCTCTGGGGAGCCGCCTGCTGGGGAAACACTTTCACTGTCGGGACAGTTGCGCACAGAAAGAACCTGTGTTCGTCTCCGGAAAGTCAGCCTGTGTATAGACTTCAGAGGAGCCCTGGAGCACAAACCTCCTTTTTGAAGAAACAGCCGAAGGCTTTTAGGACAGTCAGCACCGTGGCTTAGGGTTCCGTGTACACCCCAAGCCTGCATTTGCCAAACCCTACAAAAACTAAGAACCTTAGTGCTGAGGTTCCCGGTGCCCCCTTTACTGTGTGCAGGGCCATTGACTTGAGACCCCCACCCCCACCCCTGCCTCCGTCATCAGCGCTTCCCGGGAAGAGTCGAGCTCCTTTGGAGTAGCGACTTGGCTTTGTGCCTCTTCTCTGGGCCCGCGTTGGATGGTGGGGTCTTAGTGGTTTCCCATGTCAGAAGCGCCTTCCACCCAGTGCATGGCCAGAGTGACTGCCTCCCCCTTTTACAGAGCAGCAAACAAACAAAGAGGCAGGCACTCTCCCCCAGCCCTAGGGCCAGAACTTGAATCAGGCCTTAGACATGGATGAGCTCTCCACTTGGCTCCCCCTTGCTCAATGATACCAGGTAGCTAGGTGTTCAGGAAATTCGTATCAAATGAATATTGAGAAAACCACCTGGAACTGTGGAGACAGGTGGAGAGGGAAGGTGTAGTGAGTAGATTAGCCACTAGAGGGCAGAAGTCAGCAAGTCTTTGTTAGCCCAGGAGCACTGACTCTGACCTGTAACCCTCAGCTGAAAGGGTCTCAGAGACACCCCCTCTGCCCCACCCCACCCCCCAACCCCCCCTCCCTGTAGATGAACAGATGGAGACCTACAGACACAGTGACTTGCCCAAGGCCACAAAGGTGCTTCACATCCCAAACCCAGCCTTCACCAAAACCACCACCACCTGAGAACAACCTTCAGGGACTGGGAACGGCGTGTGTGCAGGTGCTGGGACAGCAATAGTGAGAGGCCAAATCCCGCCCTGCTCTGGGCCTGTAAAGTGAAAACTGGGAGGTTTTTCTGTAGGAATAAGGTTTGACTTTGACACTATATTTTACATCACAACCCAATCAATGAGAAAATTAAATGCAGATAGGATATAAATTATACTTGTATGTGTGTGTGTATACATATAGTGTCACAAACTAAATTTAAACTATAGTGTGATAGAGTCTGCAGTCTCCATTTCTAGCCACTCTTAGCCTGGTAAGAATGTTAATCACAACCCACTCAGTTGACATCATGTTCTTCTGTGATCACAGCCTTCAGCATGCACACCCCTATTCTAAATCATTGATTTCAGCCAGGAAAGAGGTTAGTATCCCTAAACGTTTATTACTGTATGCCAAATCTTCTTAGTTTGGGCGGAGGGTAAGAGTTTGTTAGAACCCAGTCATCCAGATGAGACTTCTTGGAGGCCCAGGGAGAAAGGTAGGAGAAGAGGCCAAAGCCAGGAGTCCTGCTTCACCATGTGGTTCCATTAGCCCAGAATTAAGGAAAAGAATATGGAGGCCGCTGTAAATTAGCTCTGCTGGCGGTCTCAGTAAGACTTGGGCAGGAAGCTGGGTGTCCCAACGCTATATACAGGTGCTTATTCATGTAATTTCATCAGGGACAGAGTTGTCAAGCACTGAAAATCCAATTGGCTGTGGACATAAAATCATTGATTGGGGATTCTCAAAGGCCAAAGGCCTGTGTCCCAGATGATGGTTTCATGTCGCTGAGGTGAAGTGCCTGTGGACAGATTTGTTTTGTTTTTGCTGATCAGCTCTACCTGTACATCTCCAAACTTCAATTAACCTGGGGATCCTAATAAAATGCAGACTCTGTTTCAACAACTATGGAGGGAGAGGACTGAGACGGGGGGAAGGGGGGGGCTTCGCAGGTGTACCCATGCTTAGCTCACCACCTCTCTCTTGCAGACGTGGAGAAGGGCTGCCACTTTCTGCACATCTTGGCCTGTGCCCGCCTGAGCCTCAGCCCAGACCTGAGTGAAACTGTGCTGCGATGCGTGCTGGAACTCCTGGAGGACCAGAGTGACATTGTCAGCACAGCAGAACACTACTACATGGCATTCTGAGGAGACGCCAGGCCTGAGCGGAGAACAGCCCTGCTCTGATTTCAGGCACCAGGCGGATTTACAGTTCTGGAGGCAAATACGCCATAATACAATGACGTGTGGCCACTTGAGGAATGGAGTTTGGACACATGCTCTAGGTTGGCTTCTCCCTACTGTGTTCTTGGGGTAAAATGACCTTTCTTTTCAGTATGACATACAAGAACATCTTTGTGGATCCCTTGTCTGGACTGGGCAGCACTCATGGATCAGCAGGAAACAGGAAAATAGGAAATAGTGCTGGACTGAGTTGCTATCATCAGGGACATCGAGTGGGGATGCGGCTATATTGGAACCTGGCAGCCAGTTCACACAAATCTACAACTCCCTACAACTCAGTCTATTGGATACGCTCTTGTGGGCTTTGAGGTGAAGACCCTTATGTTGGGATCCAGTTCTTCCTGATGAGTAGCACCAAGCTACAATTTTTTTGTGGATCAGGCACCAGCAGTGTCCTGGATTGTGGGGTGAATGTGATGTATAGTCCCACCCAGGGTTAGAATAAACAGATCTAAGGCACAGCTCTGTGCTTCTTCCTATTTTCCTTCTTAATTGGAAGTTTCTCATACATTTCCAAAGCTTCCCTCAAGTTACACATGATGACTTATGTGACTCATATATAGATTAGACACATTGTCCTTTCATGCCCCTACAGTTCCCAGAGGCCCCCAGCCAGTGGCCTGGCAGGCAGTGGAGTTATCTTCAGGGTTAACCATGAATGAGCAGGACATCCTGACACCATCCCAGACAGAGCCTCAGAATATGCCCAGACAGGTGATGGAGTCATGGTCTGGCTCAGAATAACAAGGTAAAGGGAAAAAATTTGAGGTATGTAGTAGGCTTGTCCCAACAGCAAAATGACAACGCTAGCCAGCGAAATTAAGTGTGGAGAGAACTTTGAGTTAATTACAGTCTTTTCACAGCAGACACATCTGCCTCGGTCTGCTGCCTTTGCTCATCATGGCCTGCTGGCCTGGAAAGTTGTGCTCTATGTGAAATGGGGGTCATTTTTTTTTTAAAGATTTTTTTATTTATTCATACAAAACTGGGATACAGGCCAGAGATGCGGAGGGTGAGATAATTCACCAGGGACAGAGTGGGGAGCAGAACAGGCAGATCAACGAAGTACACTGCTGAGGGGAGCAGCGGGCGGGTCAGGAGAGGTCTGCCGTGCCTTGTGGTCACCCCCGGGGCAGGCGGGGATCGAACTCATGCAGAAGTGGCTTAAGCTGCTTTTGCAGTGCATTAACCTGCTGCGCCACCAGGGAGGGCCGGGGGGTCATTTTTACTCTCAGAAGTCGGCTGCAGCTCTGTCTGGCAGGCTCAGAGTTGGTCCCCACAGATTGCTTCCTGTGCTGGACTTCTAGCTTGACCCAAACCTCTGCCTGATTTCTAACAGCAATTGCCCAGACCTCTGCCCTGTGACTACTCTGTTCAGATGGATCCCAGGAGAAGAGGGATACCGAGGTGATACCCCAGCAGGCCTCTCGAGGTCAGCAGCTGCCCCACACTGAATATACCTTGCCTGTTTGGAGCTGCCCAGGAAGGAGTCTCGACTCAATAACTGAAGGGCCCATGTTTGCACAGCCCCATCTGGGACTTACCCAAGGTGGTGAGCATGCAGGTGAATGTAAGGTACCCATTGCTGTGTTATTCAGAATTACTTAATTGGGGAAAATATAGGCAAGCATTAATTATGGCACATACATTAATAAATTACATGCGGTCATTCACATAATGAAGCAGACAGAGTACCATGGCGCAATATTCCCAAGAGATTTTGTGGGAAGAAAATTGAGTTACGCATCTGTTTATGTAGTAGGATAGCATTGATCTAAAACTGTCTTATGCATAGGCAAAAAAGTCAATAAAGATCAAGAAGAAAGATTCTTGAGGCTCAGAGTACAATACCCTAATAAAAATAATAACACTACCCACGTGCATAGTGTGGGTGTGCAAGTGCACCTGTATAAAGGTAGCACGCATGTGCAGCTGACCCTCCCATCTCCCAGAAATCCTTTCTGCACTTGGCTCAAGACATTACACTCTGGCTGCTCCTTCTCAGGCTCCTTTGCTCAGTCTTCCTGAGGGCTCGGGGGGTTCTGTCCCAGACCTTGTTTTCTCTGGTTTGCTCCCTTGGAGATGGATCTCAACCAGTCTTGTGACTTACACCCTTTGTAAGTGGACAAACTCTGGTTTGTGTCCAGTTTGGGCTTATTCTGAACGCCAGGCTCTACATTCAACTTCCTGCTGGCATTTCCATTTAGGTCTCTCCTGGACATCACATAGTGTGCCCAAAGCAGGCGCCAAACTTGTCCCTTCTGAAGTTTTCCCCGATTCAGGGAAAGGCAGCATTTCCCCAGTAGCTCAGTTCAAAGCTGTTGATTTTTCTCTCATCCCATAACCAGTCTGAAAACCCTCGTGGCTCCATCTTCAAACCATGTCTACATTCTAACTGTGACTCACACCCACTACTATCACCTTGCAGTTCACAGTTGTAGCCTTGCTGTCTCCCCACCCCCACCCCCCAGCCCCTCTCCAGGGCACCCAGCACAGTGGCCACCTGGCTGTTTAAGCACCAGTCAGACCCCATCATCCTTTGCTCCAGCTCTTCCAGGACTTCCTTTCAGTCTCCCTGCAGGTAGGATCTAAGACCTCATGTGTCAACAGGGCTGTGCTCTGTGGAGTCTCCTTTACTGTTGCTTGGTCTCTGTCTGCTGCTGTTTGGTCTTCACTGACTGCTCAGCTCCTGGGCCTTGCTGTTCCTTCACACAGTTACATGCAGGAGTGTTCCTGCCTTTGGGCCATCGCACTTGCTGTTTCTCTGCCCAGATAACCATGGGGTGGGCTTCCCACCCCTCCTGTGGGTCTTTCCCTGAGTGGTACCTTCTCAGTGAGTCCTGTCTCCATAACCTCTTTTACTGATTGAAACCACCCCTTTCTCTCTCCTCCCCAGAAGTCCATGGTTCTTTTCTCCACAGTCCCTGTCACCCCCAACACATGCCATGTGTATCTTACTTGCCCTGCTGATTCTCTCTTTTCCCAGTGGAAGGAACATTCCATAAGGCAGGAAACTCTCTTGTCACCAACGTGTCCCCAGCACCTAGAAGAGTGTCTGGCCCTCCTTTTGAGCAATAACAGTTCTCGCTCCCTCTCCCTTCTCCCTCCTTTCCCATCTCCCTTCCCTCTTTCCTTCCCTTTACCCCCCTTCCTCCTCCCCAAAAGGGAGGGAAACTGAGCAACATCCTGCAGCTCTCCATGTGCGATCTCTCCGAAGCTGTGAGCACCACACGGTATATGTAGGCAGGGAGACAAATAGTGCTACTGTCTGGTCAGGAACTGTTTGCATATCCTGATGATTCCCATCTGGTAAGTTACCATTGCTCTCATCCCTATAAGACACTTCTAATTATTTCCCCCTCTGATAGTGTGCCAGGATACTGGCCAAGAGAAAGCCAAGTGAAAGAAGTTGATTCAGTGATGAGGAACCCAAGACTTGGCACCAAGGATTGAAACCAAGCAAACTTGTAATTTTCCATTGGAGAAAACATCTACCCTTTCTCATTAGTGTGGTTTCTTCTCTATAAATGGCCTCTATAGCAATCACCCCAAAGAAGTATCTTGTTTCTTTACTAAATTTATGAGTCCTATGGGCAAACTCAGAAAGATGGCCAGGAGATTTGTGACTGGAGCCAGCAGCAGGTGTAGGGGGGCGGAGGCAGGTGGGGGGGGCAGAGGCGGGGGGGGACGCAGGGGGGGGACCATCCTGAAGAGAAGTGGTGCCTGTGGATGAAGAACCCTGAAGGAGAGTTTTTATGTGGTGGGAGCTTTAACTGTGGTTTCAAATGCCCACGAGTAAGTTTTTTATGGACCCTTAATATTAAACAAACTCATTCTATTTTAATTAAACTTGATATTAGGCAACCCCAAACAGGTAAGTCACACATAGCAACCAGCCAGGTTCTGTGTTCCAAGAAATCGACATCAAACCTCAAATTCCTGAAGCAACTGTAGTCCCTGCCTGTATGTCAAATTAGAAGGGGAGGTTTTCATTTTGGAACAGAACGAGAATGTTTAAAAACCATCTCACTGCCCTAATTTTTTTAGATAGAGATAGAAAAATAGTAACTCATTCAGACAAATTCTGTGCATGGCTTGCATAAATTGATAGAAAATCTGGAGTCAAATAGGTCATTTTTTACTTTAGGTCTACGCAGTGGTCCTTATTAAATCTGGATTACCAAGAGTGAACAGATTTGCTGCTCTCAGAGAAACTGCTTTAATAAGAATTATTTCAATTATGTATCATTTATTAATTAGCATTTAATTATGTGTAATTTAATATTAATGTGACTTAAAACTTCTTAAGAGATTTAAAAACATGTCCACACAAAAACTGTACACGAACATTCCTAATGGCCAAAAAGTGGAAACAACCTAAATGTCCATCAAGTGATGAATGATAAACAAATGTGATAGAGCCATCCAATGGAGTAGTATTCAGCCATAAGAGGGAATGAATTACTGATGGATGCTGCATCATGGTCAACCTTGAAATCAGGGTGCTAAGTGAAAGAAGCCAGCTACGAAAGCTATGCATGGTATGGTTTCTTCTACAGGAAATGTCTAGGCAGATCCATTAAGGAAAAAGATCAGTTCTTGCCAGGGCATGGGGATAGTACAGGTCTTCTTTTTGTAGGAAATAAAGTTTTTCTTGAGTTAAACTAGGGGTGTTTTGTGCAACTTTGTGAACATACTCAGAGTCACTAAGCTGTGGGTTAGGGTGGACCCCGATTGAGAAACATTTAATTGGTTTCTAGTTTGTTGTTGTTGTAGCCAGTTCTGCAGGAAACAACCCTGTACATTTTTCTTTTCTTGGCACACCTTTGTGAGTATATTCATGTGATAAATTTCTGGCAGTGGAGTTGCTAGGAGAAAGGGCATGAGCATTTAAAAATTTGAACAGACTGACAAATTACCCACTGAAATGACTGTTTCAGCTTTACTGTTCTCAATTATTTATGAGTCTAGTGTTGACCTGCCAGCTTACCCACACTTGGTATTATCAATAGTTTGAATCACTGTTCATCTGATACGTAAAAATGACTTCCGGTTTTTCTTTGCATTCACATTTGTTCAGGTAGGAGTGGCATTGAGCATTTGTTCAGGAGGCTCTTTAAGGCAACTTTGAGGCTCTGTCCTGGACATGAGCCATTGCCCCCAGCAGAGGTCAGGGCCACCTTGGTCCTATGTTCCCCGTTGTGATCATCAGCTGCAGAGTCAGCCCAAGAGTCAGCCGCTGAGAGCACACAGCTGGCATACGCATCCTGAAGTCACCCTATTACCTACCGACTCAGACCTCTCCCAGACCAGACACCATCCTGCCCTGGTTCAGTGACCGGGCTCAGTCAAGGTAATGTGAAAAACTAAGGTTGTTTCTGAGAAAGTTAGCAGTTACTTTGTATTAAAGATGAGCTTTCATCATTTTTTCAGTTCTATTTTAATCAAGACAGCTCACTACATAATGAAGGGGTGTTTGCATTTTCATCACTGACTAGGA